CCGCCCCTACTGCCGGGTGCGGGTGGGCCACGGGCTCCGCTTCGGCGGCAGCTCCCGCCTCTTCCTCCTGCAGGTGGGTCGGGGCCCGGGCGGCCCCGCCGCGCTCCCTGGGGCATGTGTCGGGTGACTTGTGTGGTAGAGGCTTCCCCGGATCAGGCTCGGGAGCTTACCCGGCTCCATCTACAGCTCCCTGGCGTCTCGGGGTGAAGGCCGCTTCTGAGGCGTGAGGCCGTTTGGAAGCAGCCCAGCACTGCCGTGGTTGTTTTACTGGGGAAAAGTAGTCGGCTGTAGGTACCCGCTGCCGGCTCTGCGGTGAGGTTTGGGGCTGAAGGACAGAGCAGGGCCGTGGGGTCCCCCCGCTGCTGCATCGCCCTGGTGCGCTGGGCACAGGGCAGCTCTGCGGGGGGCTCAGGCGTGGCAGCTTCTGCCGAAGTGCAATGAGTGCAAAAGGTGCTTCTCTCCAACAGTGTGGTGTATCAGCGTTGTGGTTTAACCAGGGCAATCGGGGAAGTCTCTCCGACAGTATGATGCATTAAGAAAGTAAAACGCTCATGTTTCTTTGTGAACAAGGGGAGCTTTTATTAGTAGGAACTTAGAGAGCACTTGGTGTGCTCTACACGCACTTCAGAAGCTGCTCGTTCCTCAAATTCTCCCATGTGGCACTGATGGAAATTTTTGCCTTCTGCCTTTTAAAATACAATTATATTTGAGATTGATCTGACGACAAGCACACAATAACGCTCATTTCTTTTTTCCCCCCCTTTGGAAAGGGCATTAAAACTAATGTATTTGGGGATGCCAACCATAACAAATGATCTAATAATTCCACTTTTTGAAGAGCGCTATAGTGATTTGTTTATGTTATTGTACATAATCTGCATGTGTGTTGAAAATACTTCTCTTTTTTTTTTTTTTTTTCTTTTAAAAAACACTTCTGCTAAGTTACTGTTTGTGATGTAGGGACCCAAAGAGGACCAGGAGTCCGAGTCGGAACTAACTGTGACTCAACTGAAGGCACTGCGTAAGCAGCAGCAAGCAAAATTAGAAAAGACGATGTTGGGAGAGGACTCTGATGAGGAAGATGAAAAAGAGGAGAGAAGTGAGAGGAGTCAGAACAGCGATATGAGCTGCTCGTGGGGAATGGGTAAGTGATGATGTATAAATTGGCTGATACACCTTGGAAGGTCTTTAAGCCAGTTTTCAGTGAATACTAGGTTTGAAATTCCAGCTGGATGCTAAATGTCCCAATCCAGTGTAAGTTCTTGAGTACGAATTAATCCTTTTCTTTTTAAAAAGAAGAGTCCTGTGACAAGGCAAGCTTCTATCTGGTGAGAAGTATGCTAGAGCTCCTTTTAAAAGGGAGGAGGTAATTTGCCTATAAAAGGTCATGAAACTGAGAGTTTATGTTAATGCTATGTGTTTTGTTCCTGTGATGATGTCCACACTTTTGCCTGAGAGGTGAAATTTAATTGCTTGAGACTTCTATGCAGTATAGCTGTCTTTAAATTTAAACAGGAAGTCCACATCTTAAAGCTGGATAAATTGTAATTAATGAGCTTTTCAGTACAACTGAATTGGTTTTTTGAACGGAAACATATAAGCACATAAACCCTTGAAAGCGCTGAAACTGCAGTGACGTTCACCTGCAAACTGTTATCTTACGATGGAATAACTAATAGCAAAAAAGAAGCAGGGGTTGGGTTTTTTTTTTGATTGGATGCAGAAATAATATTCAAGTTAAGGGAAATAATTTTAGGATACTGTAGCTGCTACTTTAAAACTAAAGGAAGCGGAAATATACTGGTGTTCTAACATTTCACCTTTTTTTTTTTTTTGCACTTTGTATGTTGTCTTCTAGGGGATGATGCTGAGGAGGATGAGGTTGAAGAAAACCCTATTGCAATTGATTTTCAGGATGTACAAGATGCCTTCTATATGAAAGATCCTAGGAAGGCCTTACAGGGCTTTTTTGACAGAGAAGGTTGGGGTTTTTTTTTTCTTTATTCATTAAATGTAATTTTTTCTATTTAGCAAAGTGCGACATTTGTACTCGTGTTTTTCTTTGGGAATTAAAGTGTGGGAGCTAAACTTTTCTGGTAGGTTGTGGGTAAGGTTTTTCATTTGGTCAAGTTTTGGTGGGGGTGGGTGGTGGTGTGGTTTGGGTTTTTTTGGTTTTTTTATTGTGTGTGTTTGGGTTTTTGTTAAAACTTAGCTCACCATTGTATATCCGAGACTTAGTTACTAATTCCTCAACTGGGAGTTGCAGAGAGCACCTTGTATTCCTCTGGAGTGACACTCAAACCACACCCATGCTTTGAAGCTATGCTGAAAAATCCAAACCCGTCAAATTCCAGACTGTTCTGTTTGGAGATGGCTATGACTGTGAGATAGAATTGGAAAGTATAAAAAGACAAAAGGCAATAATGAATTGGTCTAAACTTTCGATGTTTGCTAGCAAAACTTACGCATGACTCACTTATTTGCTAAAGTGAAAAATTTAACTGCAAGGTAAACAATATCTGAATCCAGATTGCAAACTGTCGTTACTTCAATGTCATTTACTTTAATGCATAGAGGCAAGATTGTTTTTTCTTTGAACTACATATTCTTGAACAGGCCACTTAGAGATTTTTTTTTTTTTTTTTTGATCTGAAAAAGCCTTGATTGTGAAAAACAACCAAATGAGCATAATACCAACTGAAGATTCCATGGCTTAAAAAAAAGGTCAAATTCAGTCCCTTGATACGTAACAAGGGCGTTTTATCTTTTTTGTTTAACCGTGACATTCTTCTCTGCTGTAAGGATTATTCATGCTTATTTCAATTTTGGTTGCTATATCAACTTTCTTTTCCTCTCTAGGAGAAGAGTTAGAATATGAGTATGATGATCGTGGGCACAATAGCTGGCTATGCAGGATCAAGTATGTATATCTCCATTCACTTTTGTACACAGAAGCTGACTTCACTGAATTCCCAAACAGAAGCTGAAGGAATTACTTGTCTTGTCACGCTTGGCAAGGAGGCCAGCTGGAATTAGACATAAGCCCTGATACTGAGACAGAAGTTCAATGATCAGTGCCTTGTTCAGTGTCTGCGCTCCTTTCTGGTCTGGCAGCATTTGGTTTTCCTTAGAGATGAAAATCAGGAAAGCAAGAGTCTAGGTTCTTTTGGTTCCCCTTGTTTTGAGAAATATGTGAAATTGAAATACGAGCGAAGAAACTAGGAAACGGTATCTTTCAATTCCTAATGGGAGAGAGAAAAAAAAAATCATTCGTTCTACTGTGTACCCAATTTCAGTTCTTTTATGTTATAAGGCAGTTTTTTATGGGTTCCTGCAAGAGGTCACCAACGTCATTCTTTTATAAGACAGGAGAAGGTGAGGTGGAAATTATATCGACAGGATAGGTCTCAAATGGATAGGTAAAACATTGCAGTGATTGTACTGCTTAAGAAACCTTTGCTTCAGCATGGAAAATACTTGTTACTGGTGTTGGAGGGATGCAAGATACTGGTGCTTAAAATGATTCAGGGATTGACATTTAACCTTTTAACTTCTTATATTCCCAGTGGAATGGATATAGGAATATGAATATATTGTTTGGACTAATGAAATAAAAATTTACTTGCATGCTTTAGGAAATCCATGCTTGTGTTTTGATTGGTACTGTATGAAATGAAAAGTGAAAATATTTAACCCACAAAAAAAAGGCTAGAGTGAAATGGAAAGAACAATGCCAAAATGATAAATAAAATACCTGAGTAGCATCCGTGAAAAGCTGTTTGTATCTGAGCTGTTCTCTGATCTTCAAACTGAACAGGTTGCCTGTGGATGATGCATCAGGGAAGCAGCTGGTGGCAGAGGTTCTCCATTCAGGAAAGAAGAAGGAAGCAATGATACAGTGCGCACTGGAAGCTTGCAGGCTACTCGACGCTCGGGGAGTACTGAGGCAAGAAGCAGGTGAATAACTAGTCAAGTGCTGTGATTGTTCTAAAAGCCCTAAATTAGGGATTTGAGATTGCTATCTTGAATTTGTTTTATTGCTCAGTGGCATGCACATCATTTTGTTTCTTGCCTTCTCCCTTACCTTTCCCAGTATCCCGTAAAAGGAAATCAAAGAACTGGGAAGATGAGGATTTTTATGACAGCGATGATGACACCTTCCTTGATCGAACTGGTGCCGTGGAAAAGAAACGACTGAGCAGAATGAAAAAAGCTGGTAAAATAGAAGAAAAACCAGAGACTTATGACTCCCTGGTAAGAAGAATTATTATGACATGCCAGGCTTATTCTCTCACGCATGTATTATTACTAAGAAGGAAAATCAAAAATATTTCCTGATCTTTCTCTGTTAGCTTGAACTCTGATATCATTTCAGACCTTTAGCTCTCAATTGGCCAAGTTAGAATAAAATAGTGGTTTTTTTGATTTGTGGACAGTATCTATAAATACCTGAAATTAATGCTTACTTTATTCTAGTGGAAGCATACTACCTTGCTTTTGCCTGTGTAGTATTGCCTTCTACTTGGTGGATCACAGCAGTGGGTGAACGAAATACCAGAACAGGATACTTTTAAATAGTTTTAAAGCATCAGAAAATAATTGTAAGCTTTCAAGTGGACAGGGCACATCCCAAAGAAGGATCTCATTCTGCTTCAAAGAATAAGCAGCCTGGACTGACAGACATGTGACAACTAGAAGTCCTGCACAGACAATAGGGTGTGGGGGAGCAGGGATAGGGAGGGTTGGAGGATCACAGTGGTGGTATAACATTGCTGCAGAAGCATTATACATATTTTTGCGTTTCAGAAAGAATATTATTTGAACAGTATGTGAAAGGACTGATAAGTTGTTTAGGAACAACCTAGACTGTAATTTTTTCAGCCCAGAAACTCCTGGTCAAAGATCAGAAGTAGAAAAATGGAGGTAATTTGGTAGGATATTTGAGTACCTCTTGAAAGAGGATTTTAAGAAGATAAAAAGATCTTCTAAGCATGTTGTTCTTTCATAGGTCACAAAACTAAATGAAGCTGAAAATGAGCTTTCTGAGATAACAGAGAAGCTGAAGGCTTCAGGGAAAGGTAAGGCATGAAGCTTATTTGATCGTAGTGCTTTCCATAAAGAACAACAAAGAGATGAAAATGTATCTTATGGATTTCTGTCTTAAGTGCTTTTTTTTTTTTAGCGTCCGCTTTTCACAAAGGGGTAGGAAGATTTGCAGGTCACTGAGTTAGCTGGAGAGGATACTTACGCTTTTCATCCAATAGTTTATGTACTCTGTGTGTATAGTCACTTGGTAATGAATGCAGCTTTTTCCAAAGCAAGCAACATCTAAGTTAAGGTAAGGAGGTGAGTGTACAAGCTCCTGGAGCTTAAGAGGGTGAGCATTATTACTGTTTATCTGCCCATATTAGTGACACCAACCCAATTTGAGGAACACCTTTTCCACTCCCTCCAAAATCATTTATAAGCAAAGAGCAAACAACTGACAGAAAAGACAGTACCTTTTATTTCACTTCTCTCATTGTAAATGCACTTTAAAAAGGAAAGGTGGCAAAAGAGAAATGTGGAGTCAAAGCAGTTGACGCTTAGCCCGTATGTTCAGTGAACTTGCTAGCTTATGAGGGTGCCGGTCAGGTTCTAGGATTATGCCTTTGTGTACGAAGGCAGCGCCTTTCCAAAGTGGTGATTGTATCTGGTAGCGAGTTAGATTTAAAAACATACTATACAAGTAGCTGCATTTTGCTTTCTGTTACTGATGATGTCTTGTGGAATAAAAGGAAGGCATGAAGGAAATGTGTTTAGGCTGGTTCTTCATACAAATACCTTTTTAATAGAGTTGGCATTAATAAAGGTTGCAATGTCAGTTTGTCAGAAGAGTTTCTCTCCAAGAAGCCTAGCAGCAGTCTGACAGCGGGGCTGTCTTTTGTGCATTATACAGGTAAGTTTCTTTCTAGTAATTCAGCTCCACACCAAAACTGATTTGTATCAACATTTTTGTTGGTGATTGATTATACCAGATCACTGTTCAGAAAACAGTACTGTTCCACTGAGCATTCTAACTGATGGGTCGGTTCAGTGTGTTTAAAGGAATTGTTTTCAGCATGACTGTTCTGATAAGTAGTTAACGATTGACTAGCAAGAGAAGCTAATGCTTTATATTGTCTGAGACATGTGATTCCAAGCTTTCATATGTTACGATGCCTTTGTTTCTGCTGATACTGTTTCTCAACAAGACTGTTAGATCATATTGTAGTAGAGGCTGGGAGAAGGAGGAATCAGTTCATTTATAGACTTATACTAACACCATATAATTCTGATATATATTATCATGGTTTGGTAAATTGTAACTGGTTACGCAGCTCGTTTAGAGCCTTGGAAAAATTGCAGTCTCAGCACTTATTGCAATACAGAGTAATTCAGTATTGGATGGGAATTTCCTAGAACTAGGCCAGGATAAAACATAGCAAATATTACATCATCAGTTACTATGTGTGTGTCTGTTCTAGATACTTGTGTTTTCTCTTATTTCTTTGGATGCTTCAGGTTAATCACAGATGTTGAGTACAAGCGTAAGCCAGGAGCACGCATATTGATCATGGGTGATTCTTACAACTGTCATGAGCTGTCTGGCAAAGCTGCTGCATTACATAGAGTTCTGAAACCACACTTTTGCTTGCTCTAAATGATTATTTGTAGCTTAAGGGCAAGAGTGTAGAGAGACCAATGAGTGAATGACGGGCTAAATTGCGATACCACCTCTTACCAAGCACTTGGAGAAATTAAGTGGTTGTCTGAAACATCACAGTAGAAGTTCACAAATTGTTCTCTCGAGTTCTTCAGAACTAATTACTGATGGACTGACTTGGTATCTCATTCACTGATGCAGCTGAATGAAAATCAAATACATAGAGCTCTTCAGTCTCATCTTTGGTTGCCTGTTCAGAAGAAAATCATTGATAAGTTGATGGTGCAGTAAATAGCCCTATAGCTTTTTTCACTGGAATATAAAGTATAATAGCCATGATTGCTAGGAGGTGAATCAATGTCAAATTTCATTTCAATAGTGTAGAAAACTGCCGCAACAGATACCGAATGCTAACAGTAACCCTGTGAGCTGAACTACCTGATCTTAGGCACTGTTGGTGGAATCAAGCAGAGAATCCTATTTGCAAGAAAGGGTTATCTGACCCACTGAAGATCACTCGCTGACTGAAGCTCTGACACTGTTCTGCAGCTAAAGAAGCAAGCTGTGGAACTATACCTTTAATTGTTCTGAATTACCTGACTAGATGCTAAACTGTATCTTTGAAATTTGGTGTTTAAATTAAATGATCATTCTGCTCAGCTCCTGCCTGCTAGGAGTTTCAGACTGTTTGTTAACAATACCTTTTCATTGATGGTTTTTGTCTTGGTTCATATAAATTGTTATGAGGAAAAAGAAGAGTATTTCTATCTGAATTTCTTCTATGACATGTTTTGTCATCATTTATATTTGTGTGGAGTTGGATGCTATGACTGTTTCTTATCTTTTGAAGCCTCTTAATTCTGTATATCTTTGAACAGTTACTGTTGTGGCTTTCATATACTTGCAAATTGTGAACTGTGTTTTGTTCTAGATCAGAAATATCCTTTTCAATTGAGTCCATTTGTAAGCATGAGTCTTATTAGACTTTTCTCTAAATATTTCAGTCATGTAAAACTGCTTGAATATGCACTCTTAACAATAATTTACACTATTTCCTTTATACATATTTAAAATTTCAAGTGCTACTTAATTAGCTCAAGCTGAACTGAAAATAACTCATTGGTCACATAATTATGCTTGTGCATATATACCTAAATGCTTATAAAGCAGCAAAAAAATACTGGATTTGCCACTTTTCATATAATATTAAAAGGCAGAAGACTGCCTGTCAAAAGGCTTGTTAAATTCTAGCAACAACATTTTTCTTTGTTTGCCTCCAAGTTATTCTTTGAGTACCATATAAAAACTTCTGAAGCATTGTTCAAGCCCAAGAAAGGAGTTTTTTTTTGGGGGGGAGGGGTTTGTTTATTTGAAATCCATGTGTTAGAATTCTGTATTTATTTTTCTTAGCCATTACAGCTTTAGTTTTTCCTCCTGAGTTTTATTTTAGTTAGTCAAATATGCTTAGAATTATTAATATTTGAAATCAGGTGGAGTAGAAAGACTGTTGTTACTCTTTTTCAAGTACAGAGCAGTGTTTTCTTGTTAGAAAATCCAGTCAAAACAAAGGTAGATTTTGTGTGACTGGCCTAACATGAAAGTATTCTTGTATGCACTCAGTCATCCAGGGGTAGGAGGCAGCATCATGTCTTGATTCATTTCGAGCTTTGCAAATGTTATTACATAAACGTTCCAGGAAAGCCAAAATGGGATTCCCCATGCAGTGGTGTGGGATTCTTTGTAGCTGTGTTTATTTTAGTCTGTGACTAAAAAAAAAACCCCGTAAGCCGCTTTTTTAGGGACAGCAGATCTTGAAGTGAGATGAACAACCTAGAATAGAGACACTTACTCATAAAGAAACATTCAATTTTAAGAGAGGCTTTGTTATGTAAGTGGATTAAAGTTTACTGTCAGGCTTTTGTTAGGAGAAATGCTTTCTTCTTTCCAGGGCTAACGACCTCCATTATTTCACCATTCAACAGAAACTTGCAGAGAGGATAGTTGTTCCTATATACCTTACTCTCTAAACGTAGGACTTGATGAGTACAGCTCTCATCTCCCCACCCGTAACAATATGTATCTTCCCTTTATCTTGCCTAGTCCAGTCCCAGCCAGCAGCTCAAGATTCCTTGGATGAATTCATGACTGAAATAAAATCAGGATGCACCTTAGACAGTGTGGCACGAAAGAAGCTTCACTTGCGGTCGTTTGAGCTGAAGAAAGAGCAACAGAGACTGAAAGGGTTAATAAAGCTTGTCAAGCCTGCAGAACTGCCTGAGCTGAAGCCCCAGTAAGTCTTGGCTAGAGTGTAAAACAATTACTTTTACCGTTGTTGTTATCCATGGGCAGTTGTGGAAGCCCAGTAAATAGACAGCTTTCCAAACACAAAAGCAGGATGGCCTTCCAAGCTGCCTGGCTCGTCTCTTTAAAGAGCCGCTGTGCCTTTTGGCTGTTGCAGCATCTATGGTTGAGGCAGATGCACCACAACACTGGAGTAAGATAAGCCCACGCTGGGAAGATGAGAGGGGGAAGGGATTGGAAGCGTGTCAGCTTATTTAATTTTTTTTTTCCCCAACCTGCATCCAAAAGGAACTGAAGGATTTTACAGGTATTAATGTACAACACGAAAACCACTTTCACTCTGTGAAATGTACCTGGAAGTAAAGTGTAGTGGCTGTTCAACTACTGCCTAGCAGCACTACTGGAATTCAAGAGGGTGCGTGCTGCGTTCATCATTTGCTAGTGGCAGCTTGATTAGAGATTTAATTACTTAATTAATTCACTTAAATTGAGGTTTGGCCTCTGAGTGTGGTTTTTTTATATACATATATATTATATACATATGTAAGTATGTGTATGCAATTGAATTTGAGGGAGTCTGTGCGATACAGATTTTTTTTTCCTTATTTATTTATTTTTTGCTTCCTGTTATGGCAAGTGTCTGAATCCTACAACATGTATGTAGGATGGAGGAGTCATCTGCAGCTTCCCCCTTGGATGCTGCAAGTGAGAGAGAAATAAAAGGATTTTTATATATACACTTCTAACTTGCAGATTTTTTTGCATTTGTAAATATAAGACTTGTTACACTGTTTTCCTTTGTATCTAATTTTCATTAGGAGTGGGAGTTACAGTCTGGAAGCAGAGAGCAAGCCTAAAAAGATTACCCTGCCTCTCTTTGGTGCAATGAAAGGGGGGAGCAAATTCAAGCTGAAAACTGGAAGCCTAGGGGTAAGTTGGACTCGTAAGTGCTGTGCGTCAGAGGCTATTTCTCAGACACCTTCTCAGGCTATGGAGACTGTAGGTGGCAACCATGTCTTCTCACATGCATGGAAACAACATGGAGGCACAAGCCTGCGGCAGTGGAAGGTGCACAGAGCAGCAAGCAGTGGCTGTTGGATGTTGTTTGCTGCCAGCAGTTGCCATTCTGCGCCCTTGTACAGCCAGTCTCCTGCGGCAAAAGGCAGGTGGATCAAGTAGAGGCAGTCTGGGGACATCAGGCTGAACCACTGCTATATCTCAGCAGCTGGTGGCAGTGGAGGGTGCACAGAGCAGCAAGCAGTGGCTGTTGGATGTTGTTTGCTGCCAGCAGTTGCCATTCTGCGCCCTTGTACAGCCAGTCTCCTGCGGTCAAAAGGCAGTGGATCAAGTAGAGGCAGTCTGGGGACATCAGGCTGAACCACTGCTATATCTCAGCAGCTGGTCCTTTCTTTTGTTTTTCTTGATCTTACAGCTAAGATCACATCCAAGATTGATTCAGTTTCCAGTGTCTCTTAAGAAAAGACTGCATTCCTTGTCTATGGACTGGACATATTTTTTCATCTTCCATCTCTAACAACAACTTTTCCTTAAAACCTAACTATTACTCATCCTGAGAGTGTTTCCTTACTAGCTGTCTCTATGACAGGAATATGTGTGCTTTCTCCTGTAATGAATATCTGTGACATCTACCTCCATTTATCTTAGCACTGATGCGCAATTCTTTCTCCTGCAGAAGATGCCTGTTAAGCGTCCAGATATCCCTGAAAGCTTGTTAAGAATGAAAGATGATGGACCGGAGGAGGAGGAAGAGGAAGAAGAAGAAGAAATGGAGGAGGAGCAAGAAGTAGATGCAATAAACAGCAGAGCATCAAACCTGGAAATGAAAATGACAACAGAGGAAGAAACGGGAAAAGAAACTAATGCTCCCAATGGTTCTCCTTGCAATAACAAGAATCTAGAATCCCTTCAAGACGGTAAACCATTGGTTTTGATTCTTCCAATAATGAAGCCGAGTCTGTTACTGCTGAATTTTTCAGAGATATGTGAATCTCTTAAGACTTGAGCCACAGATTCTCCAGCAGATTTCTTTTCCATAGATTTTTGCCATGAGTCCAGAGTCTGTGTGCCAACAGCTGAGTTTCACGTGGTTCCAATTGAAACTCTGCTTGGCAGTCAGTTTTTCATGTTTTTGGTGAAATAGAAGAAATTTCCTGGACTCCAGAAAGGTTCCATTTTGATAAGCCCTGCTTTCATTAGATTGAGCGTCCATATGAAAACAACTACAATGTGTTTGGGAGTCACTCAGGGACTTAATAAGAAAACAAATGTCTGTGTAAAGCTTCAGATCCGTTTGTAAGGAGGAAGAATAATTTTTAAAGTGGTAATGGAGAGGTATCCTCCTTGTATCTCCAGTGGTTTATCTCCAATCACTCCTTTTCTGTATCAGCTTGATGCATTTGAAAACTCAGTAATGATGTTTCTCAGTAAATGATGTGTTTGACAGAAACCTAATTCTAACTTTTTTTCTTAACGCTGGACAGGTTGCTTTTGAAAAGTCTATTTTAACTGGTCACAAGTTTTTCTTTAATATTGTATTGCAATGGACTTGGTGGATGAAATAATTTGGAGGACTTTTGGGAGAAGAGTTCTTCCTGAGACAAATGTAGCTAAGAGTTCCCTTTTGTACTTTGTCTCAGGGATGCTAGCGCCCTCCTCATCAGCGTTACTGCAGAGTGCTCACCTAGCTCTTTCTTTTTTCTTTTACAGGCGTTCATTTTCTGCCTGAGCCGAAGATACTAAGGAATAAATCTCAGATGGGACCCTCACAAGAGAAATCTCAGGGTGAGCAGTACAATTTAGACTCTATTGTACAGTAGCACGTGGGTTTAGAAACTGTCTAAAGGACTTATTGTCTTCTGTCAGTAGAAGGAAACTAAGCTTAATCTAGAGCCTAAAGAATCTAGAACTGAAATGAAGGATTGTGTTTTGCTTGGGAAGTGGTAAGTGTATGGTGAAGACAGGTCACTTCAACTATGTTTCAGTGCTCCTTGCTTTTCATAGTCATTAACTGCTTTGAGATACTTTGTTTTAAAAACATAGCATGAGAAGAGAAGAAAAATTATTTTAATTTAGGAGCATAAACATAATGCTTTTTCCCCCCCTTATTCTCTTGCAGTAGCTCTTAACACTACAGAAGGACAGAACTTTCTTTTATAAAGTGACAAATACTACATAATGTTAGCTAATAATCTGTTAATGACCCAGATGACCCCTCTACATGTACACAAAAAAAAAAAAAATCAGATCCTCAGAATGAAGACTCTTCAGTGTACTGAGCACGGAGGAGAGCTGTATGAATTTTCTATTTTTTCATAACTCAGACTGTTAAGAATGTCGTCCCGTCCTCATCATCTCATCCATAGACTTCAGCCACAAGAATCTCAATATTTCACAGATTAAGTGGCAGAAAAACAAGGCATACTTCTATCTCTTCTGTATTCCTCTCACCTATGTTACTGTAAAGGTTTTGTTTTTTTTAAAAAAACAAAGCATGTTGGTCCTGCGCGTTCCCTACTGTTCCCTTCTAAATCAATCACTGCAGTGATTACAGATAGAGAATATCTTTTAGAAAATAAACATCTGCCATTAACTAAAGTGTGTTACAGAATCCCAAATATAGGACCTTATTAAACTGCATTCAGGTAGGTGACAGACAGTGTATTAAACATAAGTTAATAAATCTATGAAAAACAAAAAGATGTTCAGCAGTCTTAAGTATGAATTTTGTTGCAGTGAGCTGTCTTGGATTTCCTTTTGGATGTATCTATTTTTATGTGAACTTCCTATAAGCTTATTTCTGATAGAATTGGTCATTTGTGATGTGTCATAAAACAAATCTTTCTTCCCAGCATCTGAGGCAGTATATAAGGAACCTGAAGAGACATCTGAGAAAGTTAAGAAAATCAATAGCTCAAGCAAGGTCAGTTACGATACCATGACTCCTGCAGCTTAAGAGTTTCAGGAAATCATTTCATAGGCTCTTTTTTAGTGAAATAGTAACAATGTGATTGAGTATGACTTGGTGATAGTAGTGCTTTTCTGCTGACTAAGACCCAAATGTGGAACTACACACTGCCATTGGACACAGATTTTGGAGTCTCCAACGAAGAGGTAAAGCACAGCATTTCAGCATGATAGAGGCTCTCAATTCAATCACAAATTTATTTTTTTCACCTTTTTACTTGGCAGTTAGCCTCTGCTAATTGCTGCTTCTCCTGTATCACAAGTGTTGTAGAACATAGGTGCTCTCTGGGCTTTGGAATGGCATTGCAAAACTTTCCTTGGAGAACAGCTTGGGAAGCACGTATTGGCTGACACAGAACATGCTGTGCTAAAGCTGTAGCTAGTCTGTATTGCCATTATCAAACCTCATCCTTCTCTGTAAGATGTGGACAGAGATGAGTCTAAGAGATTATTGTCTTTTGCAACCAAATTATTACTAAATTTGAGCGGATGTACCAGATAATGTTCCTCCCGTGCATAAGATTTGTATTAAAATGTAAAGTATGTGAGCCTTGCACATTTTGGGACGTGTGCATTGTTGCCTTCCTGGAGCTGGGAAGGAACTTCTCTGACAGCGTGCTCTTAGCCTAATGATTATTGTGAGGTTCTTCCCTTTAGAGCGCATCCCACCTTTCTGCTGACTGCCATCAAAGAAGATTACAGTACTTGGTGGGCCGTGAGTTCTGACCGTTATGACAATTTCTTTGTGGTGGCCATATAATTTTAGCCCTGCACCACTTACTTAAGAAACTTGACTCCCAGCAGCCTGTGTGTGCCAACTGCTGCCTTGTTAGTCCTGGCAAAGGACCCAAGGATTGGGTAGGCACAGCCTTTAGAATTGTCCTTTGTGGCTGGCCTATAAAGCATGTCAATAAAGAAAGCAAGAGTAAATTTATACTGTTAAAGCCCAAGTTATACCATTTCTATGAATATGGGAGAACAAGGCAGCTTCTCATGCTGAGGCAGTCAAGTCAGCACCTCTCATCAGTGCGGAGTTCACTCTAACGCCGAGCATTCTCCAAATGCCATATGGCTTAGCTGTATTCTCTCTCCCATCACAAATCACTTCTTCCACATGCTGTCTCTGCCTTTGGGCTCGGATCTTGCGTGGAAAATATCAACCAGAAGTCCGCTGGTTTTTTTTGTTTTCTCTTTTAATATTTGAGGAATAACTTTGAATCCTGTAAAACTGCAAAAACAATTTAAAGTGACCTGATCACAAAAAGTGATTTTTCAAAAGCCATATTTAAAAACTGTTCAACTCTGCAGTCTGATGTTTTGGAAAACATTAGTCTTCCAAAAGAACTGTTTTAGAAGTTAATTTGGGGAAGGAAAGTTTCTGAGGGAATGAAAAATTGCTTCAACTGCATAACTTAAGACTGTGTCATGATACTACAGAGTAATGCAAATCAGTGCTGAGTAACTTGGCTACATTTTGAGCTCTTAAGTCTTGCGCTCTACAGTTCTATGAATGTTTTTTTGATAGCTACCTGCAGTTGTTGAAAACAAAAGTTGTTGAGAAAATGATGCTGATGTGGCAAAACTTAAAAGTCTAGGGACAAAAAGACATTGCTGTGTCAACATTTGAATTGCAAGTGACCTGTTTTGGTTTGCTTTAAACATTTCAGTGATGCCAGCGAGACCTGAAAAAATTGGGTTTTCTTTTCTTTTGAAAAACTAAGTTATCCTTCTATAACAGCTGAATTTTTATATACTCCAGTTTGAAAGTCACCTTAAACCTGAAGTTTTCAGTGGGATTGCGCGTTGAAATCAGTAAAGCACTTCTTGAAAATCCTACTCTAAAGCTTTTCCCTGCGTAAAGAAATTCTGTCTTGAATGATACTACCAAGCATTAGGATGACCAGATTAAACTGTTGAGAAGTGGACAGTTGGCAATGGTTCTGTTTTGAGGGGGAGGTAGGACTGGATGACCTCCAGAGGTCCCATCTAACCAGCATTTCTATTATTCTGTGACTCTACTGGGAATAAACGGGATCTATTTGAGGGTTCGATATTTCTTCTTTCCTCTGTATTACTGTTTTCATCCCTGACTCTTGTAGAAATAACCCTCACCTTTCAGTATTTGTCTCTGAATTAATGAGAGATTTAGTGGCTGTGACACGTTGCTGGAGGGGTGCAGCACCTTAAAAATCTTTTCTCCTTTTGCAGGTCCAACAACCTTTTTTTTCCTCACAGTACCCAGATGATGACCCAGACTACTGCATATGGATTCCTCCTGCAGGTATCAACCATTTCCTTACCGTTTTTAGTCTTACAACTCAAAAATCTACCTAATAAGTAGTCAGGGTGTCCTCTTGAGAAAAAAGTAATTCAGGAATACTTTACCCAGAACCTGATGTTTTCTGGCATGTTTATGCCCCATATTTGGCATATGGCCATGCAAGTCTGGCAGGGAAATACAGACCATATCGGTAGTAGCTTCATCGCAATGGGCAGATACACCTCAAGTTTGGTTTTCGGTTTTGTAACACCTGAGAGCGCTAACTCCATTCACACATAGTGATACGACGATCGAGTTGAAAGACAAGCTCAAGCCTTCACTAGGGATAAATGCTCCAGCAATCTTAGTATTCTCAGTTTTCATAGAAGTCTGTGAAATCTGAAAATCTTTTTTGCAGATTTTTGCAAAAATCATTGGAATACAAACTTTGGGTCATGTGTTTTAGAGAGAAGTCTTGGTAACGCTTTGGTGAAGGCACTGAATAATTGATGCATGCATCCAATATATGTTAAAGTCGAACAAATTTTTTACTTTAGTTCCAGAGTGGTTTTAGCTAAGTGAGGTTATTCTTAAACAGTGTAATGAATTTTCAGTTTCTCTAAAATGGAAAATTCATTTTCATGCACTGAGGTTTTCATAGTAAGTTCAAAGCTTAGCTTTCATTTGGTAGATTCATTACTATAACTTTTATAAGGCTGTTGCAGGCTTATAATATAGATAGGCTCCAAAGGGAATAAGAAAAATGAGAATAAACTTCACTGAAGAAAACTATAATCTGGTGAATCATCGTTCAGTGAAAAGACTGCACTTCTCTGGCACATGGATCCACTGGAACAAAATGCCCGATTCAGTAACTCAGAGGTCTGATGTGGGATAGCCAAGCGAGCTGTGTCCATAAGAGGGAGCTCCTTTTTCTGTCTCTGCCTGCTAATAATCAGACTTATCTTCTGTCTAAGCTGGCATAATGAGGACATCAGAACCAGGAATATATGATGTAATCTTGACACTGTTAGTAAGGTTAAGAGGATTTATAAGTATAAATCAAAAGACTATTTGAATTGTAATATCCAGTCTGACATCCTCTTTATGCCTGTGTGACTGGTGTTGCCTAGAGACTATTTCATACTTGGATACAAATTTACCTTGGATGATGGGGGAAAAAAAATAATGCCAGTCTTCCTCTTTGTCCATTAGGTCAAAGCGGTGATGGCAAGACTCATCTCAATGAAAAATATGGCTACTAAGCTTCAAGCGCCCCAGAGTACATCTGAGGTTTGAAGGACTGCTCTATTTTGGACTCTTTCACCACACGTTAAGTGAGGGATAAAGGAGTTGCTTTTTCAGACGCTGTTCCAAATTCAAGGGCATCAGCAGCGACTCTGGCTGTTAGCTCTCCCTGTGTGTGCTCTGTTTGTCTTCCAGATACTTTTTTAAAAGTAAAAGCCCACATACTCTTCTTTCTCTTCTTCCACTTTTAGCCTTGTCCTTTTTATTTGGCTTAAAACTGTAGGCTCATTTTTCCTTTTGTAAATAAAAATATACAGATAGTATTAAAAAAAAAAAATACACCTCTGTATACTTACAGGCTTGATAAAATTTTTTCATGTTGGTTTTATGCAATTAAAATGAGAAACACTACTGGTTTGCTTCTGTGGCTGTGGTTTGAAAATACTGTCATCGTAAACGCAACCTAAATCTTGAGGGGTTTTTTTTTCTTTCCTATGGAAAAAAAAAAAAACAACTCTATTTTGAAAAGAAAACTGTTTTCACTCCTCCCTCATGCAGCGGGTGGAATACTTGTCATGGAGTGGACTGGAAGGGGTGAGCGTGCTACGAATAAAGTAAGTTTCAAAGAGCGAACAGGCATCTTTTTATAAAGAGGTGACAGTTTGTGCTGCAGGCGTTTATGGGGAGGACCACGTCCTGCGCCCCGCGGTGCAGCAGCGCAGGGAGCCCCCTCCCCCTAGGGCAAGGGCCCAGCCCCCGCAGAGCACACCGCCAGGCCCCGCCTCTTTTCGTACCGCTCTGTGATTGGCTGCTCGCCATTTTATTTCTGAGACTGTCCCACTCAGGTGATCTCGGCGCACCCTCTGATTGGCTGCCCCTTTCCTTTGGACCAGGAAGTGCTCAAGTATACGAATATATATATCTGAAGGAGAATACAAATTTCTGTAAATATTTGTGTTATTTATTTGTGGATCCACTTCCTCTATGTATTTATATATGTGCCTATTTAGTGTGTATCTGCTATATATGTTAAAAAATTTATAATTTGAACACACGTCCATAAAAGTGCGGGTATAAATTGGATGAACACTCTGTAATATGGTGGAAGTTTAAACACGAATGGAAGTAATCAAACAAAAGCAAAGGGCAGGCTCATGCCCCCCACTTTCCGCTGCTGCAGATCAAGCCCTGTTTGGGGTGGGGGAGTTACAGAAGGCAGGGGGGTGTGAGCAAGCTGGAGCCTACCCCAGGGCTATGGAGCCCTCCGAGGAGGCCGCCAAGGGGCTGCGGGGGCCCTGGGGGCACTGCCAGGCCTGCCTGTCCCTGCCCAGCCCCTCTGGGCTCTCGGAGAAAAACGGATCTTTTCTGTTTGTTGCACTTGGAGTCAAGCCTCTAACTTTTAAGCGGTGCTTTCCTCCAAACTGCAAGTAATGGTAGGATTTGGGACTTGAAGACCCCCAACGCGGTAACATGGTCATCACTCATCAGCTCACCTAAACAGTCACCGCCTGGGGGGATCCGGTCCCCTGGATGACTCACACGTGTCCCAGAGCATGTGTTGTGGTAAAGGCAAGGGTCATGCAGGGCATCTGAGGGATTGTAAAGCTCAAGGCACAAGCATACAGTGGCGAGGAAAGCTGTAGAAATGCTAGTGCTGCACTACAGGGTCACACATCCTTTGGCGTGCTTCCACCGGACAGCGGCCGCATCCTCATGGATAAATCGCAGGAGGGCACGTCAGAAGCTGGGGAGAGGGGATAACCATACCACTCCTGGTTCTCACAATGGTAGTGTTGGAGCAATGGAGCTCACTCCAATTTTACCCCGCAGAGGAGGTAGAACAGTTTGGTAGCTTGGCATTTTGTAGGGTTTTACTTAATATGCTCAAGCTGCAGAACAGCATCTTCTTTCTGCCTGTAATCTTCAACGTATTTAGCTTTTTTTTGTCAGCATCTGTGCACCAGGCTGGGCAGCCTGAAGCTTCCTGCTTTTGGCAGAGGCGTATCTTTACGTAATCCAAGGAAAGGCTGTTGCCCCTCCATTCAAAATGCCAGACCTCATGGGTTTCACAGACTCTGTAGCCCTTCTCCAGAGCCTTGTTCAGTTCCAGGGTGCACCAGGCGTCCGCAAGGGACTTCTGTGATCGCCTGGCAGGTTTCAAAGTGCAGCACGAGGGAAACAATAGTTTGCCATTTACGCTCATGAGAAGCACAGGGAAAAAGAGCCCACGAGGTGAGTACACTTTTACTTTGACCATCCCAAAGTAGGTGGTCAGTGTGTTGAAATTCTCAAAAAAAAGGGCTTCTGGGTTCCCAAGAGGGTATTTTTTAGTTCTGCTGATGAAAGGATAGAGGCTAGCAAAATCATAGTGGTGCATCTTTTCATCGGGGGCTGCTTTGTAGTACAGACAAATGGTATTTGTCCTGCTGCCAAAAAGCACATCTCTGGGGATCAGGGACTGGGCAGTTTGGTCCTGGCTAAGCCCACGAGCTCCCCATCTGTTTCTTTTCATAGCAGCTCACTTGTGCTCCCGTACAGATCTGATGGTAAAACCTGCTCTCTTTAGGCAGTCCATCTTTTGTTGAATTGTGTAATATGAATACCCAAAGGTGGTCCCCACCGGATGGTTCCAGTCATTTTCATGGTAGCATTCAATACAACCGTGGAAAAAGCACCCATTATATTTGAAAGTTGTTGTCATCCCATCAATGATCACTTAGCCATCCCAGAAGCGGGTTCCCACTTGATACTCACAGCCATGTAACACATGACAGGTTTTAATCTTTTCCTTTTTGGCCAGGTATATATGTCATTGGTCAAATATCTCTTTTTCCTCCAATGATAGCCATAAACCAGTAGGTGGACTTGCAAGTAGAGGGCACCATATTATACAGAAAGGGATCTACACAGTGATAAACCTTCACCTTTTCATCACTCTTTCTCACCCACCATGTGACGGGCCATCACCATAATCTTATTTCTCTATGATCTGCAGGCCTCCCTCAAAATTCTTACACCTTGCTGGCAATGGTAACTCAGTTCTTATTGCAAGTCAAAGATTTCCTGATGGTCATGAATTCATGTCAAGAATTTATTTTTTTTCCTTAAGCACCATACTGTGCACCCTGTCATAATCCCGTTGTGGAAGAGGGCCTACATAACTTTGATTTTCAGCAGCGTTGAAAAAATGGAGGAAATAACTTTTGCAGCCCTTGATACCCAGCACTTAGGAAAGACTGCTTAGTTTCATGGTTGAAAAATTTAAAGAGTCTATGAAAACAAAAACTCTAGTTGCATATCAGTTTAGCACCCTGGGTGATTGATTGATTACACACCCATTTTTTCTTTCAGAAGCTGGCTGACAACTGAGCAGCCATCGCAGCCTTTGGCATTAGAGAAGCGTAGCCCTGAATCTGTGTCATTAAGCAGGTAAAGTCCACGTGTCCCCTTAAGCTCCCATTCTCCTTCAGTTTTCCTTTCCACTCCTTCTTCATCCCACGGGGCATCTGGCGCTAACTCCACAGCAAAAATGTAATTTGGGCCGTGCTCCCAGTTTCCTCCATGCGTCCCGTCTCGTCGAGAAGAGAGCCCTGCCCCGCATCTGGGGTTTTGATCACAGGCATGGAGTGCTGCTGCTGGCTTACGTTACAGGTCTGTTCGTGGCACAGACCGCGCTTCCAGCCTCTACGTTTGAGATGCTCTTCCACATAGATCTTGCACTTTTTCACATAAAATCAGAGCCAAACAATCTGAGTTCCCCAGACCCGCGCAGCATTCTGCAGCTGGGGCACCTTCTTCTCGTGGGGGTGTTAAGTGCACAGTCACGCAACAAGCAGAGCCAGCAATAATATTTACAGCTATGGGTGTGATTATAGCGTCTACAGCAAAGCTTACAAAGGTTTCTCACCCCAAATACCTTTCCTGACCTTCCTAACGCCATAATGATGTTCACTGTGTCAGAGGAAGAAAGGGGTCTTGGCATATGTAGGACTGTTGCTTGGCTTAAGAATCCCCCAGCATTTTTTTTCCACTCTGATAGGAGAACGATGAGTATATTAACACGCAGCAGGTCCTTGAACAAGGGGATCCCGCTCAGCACGACCTTCCTGTGCACAGAGCACTCTGGTTTTTCATGGAGCTCTCTTGCTCTGCTCAACAGCTCTGCATCAGTCAGACCCCTCGCTGCTGTAAGTGCTGTGAAACCTCCAGCAAAACAGAGAAAACCATCACTGGTGCGTTTTAGCTCAATCATACAGCACCACTTTTTGTCTGTAACATTAGAACGGAGATAGGCTGCAGGGTCCTGCGTACCTCACTCCCAACAGCTTTTAGAGTAAGAGTAGCCGGGCAGAAAGTCTGATCACATCTCAGCTCTCTCTGACTTCGTACGAGTATACTCACCCAGTCTGAAATTTTTTTCTGAATTCGTCATGCTTAAATTAACAGAGGAAGACTCTAGTAGAAGCTGTGCATGCAGACAGCTTCGAGACAGAGCTGAGCAAAATCACCAGGATCGAACATCTGGCATAAGTCATCAGAAGCTTGCTCTACATCCCAAACAAGCACTTTGTGAGCTTCATGCAGCAATACCTCATTCAAATTAACAAACCTGTACTTTTCCACAGTACTGCCTAGCCCTGAACCTCTGGAATGGCCATTCCCACTGCTGTGCATGCTCTGTGGAAGCCACGGGTTGGGCTGACGTCCCCTCCACCGCCCCCCTTACATTTGAGGGTGGGAGCAAGACAGACTTTCAAATACACACCCCGGGGCCTTGGGAGGGCAGCTGCTTCCACCGTAAGTGGTCTAACAGGACAATCTTGACTGTGTGCTGGGTTTTCTGCCTCTTCTTTGCTGCATTGACCAATAGATAAGAAAACATACAGCAAAGGCTGTGTCTCAGGCGTAGCTGTAACGTTCCCCCACTGCCGTGGGCAAATGGAGGTCATCCCACCACCTGCCATTCTCTGCGTGACACCTCCACATCAGCCAGCTCTTCTGGTTTGCAAGGTCATTTTTTTTTACAGATGCCCCTGGGGCTTGGTGATTTTGACCCAGCACTGTTGCATTTTCTCTCCACTTCTTTCAAAACCACAGATGAGAGCAAACAACCTCCAGATGGAGCTCATGATGCGCAGACATCACAGTACCTTAGGTCTCCTCCGACGGCAAGGAGGGAACCCAGGCTGTATCTGTGGGTATGGTCCCCTAAAGAATGCTTCCTCTTGCTTATCTAAGGAAAACTGAAGCTACATCCATGCATGTAACAATCCACTTTCTGGAATGGAAAGGAGCGTTCATAAGGTCCTTCAAAGCATTCAAAGGAGCGTAACACCTACTTGGTTACCTACTTGTCAAACTGGGTTTACAGCACTGTAAAAAGCTACAGGATGCAGAGAGATATCATTAAC